TTCAAGATATATTCACATATTATATGAACATTATTCGACCTTCATTGAATATTAAATGACCTGTAAATGTTGCTTGAACTAGCTTCAATATTTTGTATACATGTTACACTCAAATTCCATGTCAATTTCTTAAATTAAATTAATCGAATTCAAGCTTGAGCTCTAACTCCAATTTCATTTTCAAAACTATTTAATTATGCATTTTAAAGATCATTCATGATTTACAATAAATTTAATTATGCTTCTTTTTTTACCAACTTAAATAATATTCATTTCATATATAATTACTTTTATAATGAAACAAGACATATATATCCTATATTTAAAAATATACTCATATTGCTATTCATTTATTCTTTGTCATTATATATGTGTTCACGAACTATTCACAAAGTTTGTGAATAGGATCGTGCTTGTCTCAACTACTAAACGAACCTGACATCGTGTTCAAGTTTGATTTATTTATTAAACAATCAATCTTTTTTGTCACTCGAATGAACCAAACTCGAACATCTTTTTCATACCTTAACTTGTACTATAGATGAAACTTAGAGAGGAAGGGATGATTTGGATGGACCTATTTTCAAGTTCGAGACCTGCCACTTGCACAAAAAATACGTGACAATCGAAAAATCTTCTTTGCTTCCATTCTATAACTTTTAATCGCATCATTCTTATAGCCCATAAATCCCACTTCTCAAATTCGGCAAAACTGCGCCCATGGAATGTTCGACTTCATCATGGTTACCAATATACACATATACACATGTATGCACGCATACACACATATACCATATTTATTATTTTAAGAATTAATCATTTATACTCTGCCAATTTCGATAATTATCTATTTTGATGACATAACAACTAATTTGTTCTAATTGACTTGTATTTATTTTTCATCTAACTCTCTTCCAACTAATTTCATTCATAATTTGTCTCTTCTAATAAGCTCTATCATACCTAATGCATTTGAGTTATTCTTTTTATCCTTGCCTTCTAATTTTATTTATCCCTTTTCAATACACTTGCATTATCGTACATAGTAATTTGCGTGTACATTTATTAATTCACTTTTTATATTGCTTAACTTATTAATTTTGTTACATAGTAATACATCACTAATGCACAAATGCACTATGCAATCTTTCATTTTATTTCCGCTTAAAATGAATACCGATGTCAATATAAGCACAAACATCATAAATTTAATTACCATCCCACATAATATATTTCATCTATTGTATGAATTGTATTATTTAGCAGATATGATTGCACCACACTATTTTTGTATACATAACTTTTTAAAGACTACTATGGTACATAAATACCTCAAATGCAATTATTTCTTCATACAACTATGAATACTTTAACAAAACATTATTATACAATTATTTACACCTTGGATCAATTCATAATTAATCATTAAGCAAAAAAAAAAATTTTGCACTGGCAAAATAAAAGTTGTTAATCATGGACATACTAAACCTGCTACAAATTACTTGCATCTATACCATGCTTTTTATTTGGGGATGATTTCAGAAACCTTTCCTAAGGTTTCTGACTATTTCATTGAATTCTCATGACATTTGAAAAATTACGCTTACCTCCATTAATTCAATAGTTTAAGTAACAATATATTAAAATAATATTTATTTCGCCAAATTTAAATGAATACCCATAAATGCCATTGTATAATGTGTTTTAATTTTTTCTATACAATTATACTATTATCTAGTATAATTATATGGAATAGGTGCCAAATTTTTTAACGTACATATCTACTATTTTATAAACAACTATGATAATTTTATTATTATAATTGGAAACTTTTTTCTGGTATTTTATTATGGATTTAGATTTATAGGCTACAAAAAATATGTTGTAAAACTCATTTCGAATTTATTAATTTTTCAAGTAATGGAATTATCATAATTTAATACTGGTTTTAGCATATTTATTTTTCATTTTGTCAATTAAAACTAAAAATTATAACACCAAATAAAATAAACATTGAATTACATATAAAATTAACTCGTAACGAATTTCACTAATTCGACATTCAGTTATAATAGAACCTAGAGACAATAGTGACAGTTCTACAGTTTCATTGACGAAAAAATAACAAAAGACAAATAACCAGGAAAAAAATTTACAAACTCATTGTAAATATACGTATACCAAATAAGAGAATTTTCTTAAAATATTTAAGATTTAAATTGTCTTTTTAAATCCCAAGGAAGCTATGTGTAATTGTTTAATTTTTAAGTGAGAGGGAGTTCAGCGAAATCTCGGGGGATGTTTCTGAAAGTACGCCTTTTACTGCCCAGCCTTTTTCCGGGGCCACTTGCAATTTGGTGTTTCTTTGGTCCCCGGTCTTAAATTAATCATCTTTCCACGTTTGCAATGATGTGGACGTCCAACTGGAACATCACATATTTCTCGCCAACTGGTTTGACGTGGAGGTCGATCTGGAACATGTGCTCCACTATTCCACGCCGGCTCTGTAATTCTCCTTTCGGTTTCCATGCAGCCTTGATTTCCGTGGCTGGACACGTGCTAATCGATGCTTCATCGCGCCAGCTTTTCCCTTGCTGGGGACATCCGTACTGTCTCCATTATAGAAAAATCCCGTTCTGGTGCACCAAATTAGATGGAAGGGAAATTTTTTTAACTGTAGTACTATTTTCGTCCCTCTAAATCCGTCCATTTACATTCTTTTCTACCCCACTTAAAACTCACAAATGATGGAAAATTCATCAGTTCTCCTCTCTTTTCTTTTTTGCCCAAATCTCAACTCCTCAAGAGCAATGTGGTCATTTACGAAGAATTGAGTTGTAGTGAACTATCCCAGAATGGTTGATTTATGCATTTAGACAAAATGTAAAATCATTTCTTCGAAATTAGTTTGTAGGGTTCACATATGGTGTTTTAATTCATGGACATCTTATAATTTAAGTAGTACATTTTTTTGGATTAATTAAAGTCATTAACTTTTCGAGAATGGCAACCTTTCCAACCCTTAATTTATTTACAAATGGAGTAGATATATGCTTCTTGCATTTTGTACGGGTAATTGATATTTAAACTTTCTTTTCTATTCCACTTAAAACTCACAAATGATAGAAAACTCAGTTTTCATTTCTTTTCTGTTCTGCCTAAATCTCAACTCCATCGGGGTAACATGGTCGGTCATTTATGAAAAGAACTGAGTTGTAGTGAACTATCCCGAAATAGTTGATTTCATGCATTTAGACAAAATGTAAAATCATTTCTTTGGAATTATTTTATAGAGTTCACACATGGTGTTTAAATTCATGCACGTCTCATGATTTTAACTGTACACAAACTGTACAATTTTTTTTGCCCCCTCTATTTCGTTTGTTCTCTCATATTCTATAGAATCAAATTTCATAGTTAGATTGATGTTTGCCAATCTTCATTTGAAACCCCTAGGGGTTAATTTTTTCACTTGGAACAATTTTGTTAAATTGGTTGAACTTGTTTTACATGAGTGTGATGCCGATGTTTGTGTAAGATGTCCATTTGAAGCTTCATGCATTGGTAGAGTAGCATGTGTCCACGTCTGAAAGAGTTTTTGTGTTTTTAATTATGCAAATTTACATTCTCTCCCTTAAATTTGCTTGTGAATTTTTTTACCTCAAAAACACTCCAAATACATCTACCAAAAATTCAAAAAAAAAAAAAAAAGACTATAAAAAAATCACCCCCCCCCTCCCCATCCTTTCTTCCTCCACCACCACCCCCTACCTCCCGTCACCCTTCCTTTCCCCCCTTCCTCTCTCCACCTTCCCCCAACCACCTCCATCAATATAATAAAGGCGTAGTATAGCCCAACCACTTCCACCCCCACCCCCGGCCCCGCCCCAACACCCACACTGGGCCACACACAAAACCCAAAATAAACATCATCAAATTTGGAGTCATGCCAACTTGCCTGAGGGTCAACTATAAGTAGGAAATGCATGACAGTTGATGATGATTTGTAAAACATGCTTTACTTGATAAGCACAAATCAATAATGAATTTTTTTTTTTTTTTGCTATCTATTACCATAAAATATTACCCATTTGTTGTGGTGATAAAATTGAGGAATGCGGATGAAGTTTTTGGGTTGAAACGTTAAGCCTAAGAGTTGACAATCCTTTTTTTTTTTTGGTCCGTCCAAATTGACAATCACTAGTTAGTTAGTCCACTGCCTAAGATGCTCTCAATTACTCAATATAGTATTGCATTACAGGCCTTGAAAATTTCTCAAATGATTCTCTGTGTTTGCATTATTCTTTATTGACAAATAATTATTTGTTTACATTATAAACACGTTTTCTATCACCTTTTCTTTTTAAATTTTCAATCATCATTTTATTTCATCATACGTTACATTGTAAAAAAGTGTTACAGTATTGTTCTAAAAAAAATTTCTAAATAATACTAAGCAAGCACACACGTAACGAAGGGGTAAATGTACAAGAAACAATCTTGATATGAAAAAGTGAGTTGTTACTAAAGATCTGGGCCATCTCGCCAGACTATGACAATAGATTAAGAAAAGAAAATTTTACACCCAATTTTTGGATAGCCCTACAAGAATTCTGTCTTCCTGCAAGATTGGTTTCTAATTTAAAGATAAAGATTTATTTCATGGCTAATAGCCATGGCAATATACATGGACGTGCATGCGTTGTTACAAAAGAAATGACAGTTTCAAATAAAATGAATCAAGAATAAAGTGAAGAGGTTTCCTGGATCCCGTGTCACTTTCATTTTTTCAAGATAGTAATCTTTCTAACAAAGGACAATTATTCATGTCTAGAGGAAACTTTAAAAGGTGGTTCAATGTAATGATCAGAGTTCCAGAACCAGGGGAAAGTTAAGAATTGACACAGGGATGCCTGAGATTCACAGGACAACGACTCAGTGCAATTGTTCCCATAGATACTTAAGATGCAAAATGTAAACATCTGGCACAAAGTGCAGTATATCCATCATTGGCATTTTCATAATCAATTTTATAAAGTAAGATATTCATTTGATATTGATACATTGCAACATATACATGCAATACAACGAAAAATATTACACCATTCTCAGCAAAACCATACAGAAGATAGTAGCACTTGAAGCCCATGATGTTTACCCTCACCATCCATCTGAATCTCCATCTGACTCCTCAATTTCTTCTGAGATAAGGATTTTCAGATCCTGATTTCCATAGTCTCTCTGCTGTTGCTTAATGTCTCGAACTAAATCCCCGGCAGAAAAGAGACATCCACGCACCTCAATGAATTGAAGAGTTAAAGTTTCCTGTAAACAAGAAGGGAGCTCTTCCAACTCTGCACAACCTTCCATCATTAATCTCTCAAGACTGGGAAAGTGATCTCCTGATCCCATCCATTTGCCAATGCTCAAATCTTTCAATTTCAAGAACTTGAGTGCTGGGAAGAATTCTTCTTCTTCCATGCCTTCCATGTCCCACTCCTTTACCCCATCAGCTTGTCGGACTAATTTAAGAGCCTCGAGATTTGGTAGGTTTCTGATTGCGGACATTATGCTCCATGAGAAGTCCTCCAGTGTCAACTTCTTAAGATTCGAGGGGAGATGAACTTCGATGGGATGTGCAGTCACTTTACCTAGAAGCAGCTTTAGTGATTCTAGTTGACTCAGAAGGTGCATTGCCAGGACCATGTTGCTGTCACTAGTGGATTCTTCTGATGGTGATGGCAAGAGACAGCATTTTAGCTTGCGGATATTTGGAAACTTCATAATCGTCTTTTCCAAGCTTTTCCCCAGATAAAGCTTTAAAGTGGAAAATGTATCTAAACTGCATAATCTGGAGGAGCAATGAGTGTCGTCATTGGCCAACCTAAGATCGATCAAAGCACCACGTACATGTAGATGCCTCAATTTCTGCATTTTCACTAAAGTATCTTGCAGTAAAGAGAGACCGACACCAGAATCATGTGTTGTCACTAAAAAAGTCTCCAAATTTGAGAGTCTTTCTAGTGAGGATGGAATGTCGCCCTTGAGCCAACCTAGAATTGCCAAGAACCTCAGCCGGACGAGCAAGCTTATTTCACTCGGGAAAGCAGTACCTAGACTAATTTGTCCCAAATCCAAGACTCTTAGAAGTTTTAGGTGAAAAACGAAGGATAAAAGGTACAACACTTCACGGCTCCCAACCCCACGAGAAGCATGTAGTAGAGAGCGTATACGGGGACAAAATATCCTTGATTTCACAAAATGCTTTGGTTGAGACTGAACGGATAGTCGACGCAGGTGCTGTGACTCATCAAGTTTGAGAAATCCATCGTAACCTCGTATCAACTGCAGAAAATTTTGATCTTTGGCTTTTTCCAAACAAAATACGTGCAACAAATCATGGATGAAGCACGTCTTGACCCCACCTGTGGATCTTTGTCTCCCCGCCATAACCAAGCTTCTGTTAACTAGAGCCATTATATAGCCTTCTGCTATTTTTTCTGGGCTCTCTGACTCATTTTTCTGCACAAATCCTTCGGCGATCCACAACCACATCAACCTCTGGATTGAAATTTCTTGATCTTCGCTGAATGCTCCAAAGTAAATAAGGCATGGCTTCAAATGTTCAGGTAGATGTACATAACTGAGCTCTAATATACTCTTGCACTGGTCTGTGGCACCAATCTTCTTGTTTGAATTCAGCCTTTCTGCAACTTCTTCCCAACCAACTCGATCAAGACCAGCAAGAATTCCAGATATGATGACAATTGATAGAGGCAGCCCTTTACAATTTTCTGCTATTTGCCTCCCAGGAACTTCCAGTTCTGGAGCGTAGCCCTTTTTTCTAATAATTGCCAGCTTCTTCTGTAGTAAATCCCAGCTTTCTGGTTCTTCAAGTGGCCGAAGTCGGTGAGGTGTACCACAAATCCCATGATCTCGACTTGTTAAGAGAATTCTGCTCCCAATTGTGTGATCAGGGAACGATAATCTCAAAGCATTCAATGCCTCGGTGTCCCAAACATCATCCAGAACTATGAGATATTTGTTTTGACTCAAACATTTACGGAGTTTGTCAGCCAAATCATCTTGGTTCATCTCATAAAATTGAATTTTCTGGTTAATGCAAGCCAAAATCTGAAGCAACAAATCTTTCTTGCAATATGTTTGGGAGATACAACACCATGCCCGAATATGGAAGTGAGATGTAACTTTAGGATCACGGTAAACTCTTCGTGCCAAAAACGTCTTGCCCAGTCCAGCCATACCCACAATGGAGATGATGTCCAGCTGCTTTGGACCTTTTATAAGTTTGTCAATTACTGCGTCCTCCTCATCCTGCAAGGCCACCTCAGCTTTATCGACTGCTGAGATACAAACCGATGATGACACCTGGTCGGACGCTCCACTCGTCTGGCTTCTTGCTGTTTCCAAAAAATTAAAAAGAGAATGAAATATCACAAATACAAAATGCATTGCTAACGTATTGGATAGACCTAGAGGTGTCAAATGGGTGATTTGGGTGGATTTGGGTTGGGTTAAATGGGTAATGGTATAAGTGAGTCAACCCATTTATATCCATCTAATTAGATAGGTATAAATGGGTAAGTCAAAAAATGAATTGGGTAACCCAATTACCCATTTATAACCCATTTATTTTAAGTTTTTGTAAACTCATTTAAATTCATTTTTGCAAACTAAGTTATCAATTTATACCGCTCTTTGTATCCATCATTAGTTTTAAATATTTACTTGAATTGCTCAATAAGTCTAATTACCAATTTTTTTCCATTTATACTTTATGAAGCAAAATTACATATTATTTAATAATTGAATAATAAGAATATAAAAATTTGAACTAAGTACTATAAAAGTTAATATAAAACTTAAACCAAAAATTTTGAATCCTTAACATTATTTTCATATATAAATTTAAATTTTCATTTTAGAAAGATAAGAAAAGAATCTAAAATTTATCATAAATTGGTAATGCTGAAAAATGAGCAAGTTAACAAACTAAGATAAAATAGAATAATAAGATAAAACCAACAAATAATAATAATAATGAAACAAAAGTAGTTAACATCATGACAAAATGAAAATTTTGAAAAAAAAAAATGGGTGGGGGAAGAGAAGAGATTTGGGGGAAGAGAATTCTAAGTGGGTTAATTGGCTTTGATAAGTTACCTAATAATACCCATTTATACCCATATATAAAAATTTAAGATACTCATATCCATCTATGCATGGGCGGATATAAGTAAATTTAGTTAAGTGGGTTGGTTTGCCACTTATAGATAGACCGATAGAGGTTTATTTAAAATATTATTATTTGAAATAAATAGTGAGATTAAAAATGGGTTAATTGCACTTTGTCCCTCTGAACTTGGGTTCTTGTAACACTTTGCTCCCTAAATTTCAAATATATACACTTCATTCCTTGAGGGCAACTTTTTGACGGGGTTTAAATGAATTTATTTTTTTTATAATCAAAGTATTCATGCTACTTCTTAAACACACATAGTAATTGTAACATAATAAATACCTATTTCTTTAATAATTGCTAAATGCGTTTAAACACAATTATACTATGCATTTCGATCTTTTAACACTAAAATGAATTAAATAATTCACAAAAAAGAAGTCTAAACATCTCAATGTGTTTATCTCAATCCCGATAGGACTACTTATATCAAATAATATGAAATTAATTAGTGCATTTGGAATGAAAATTATTTGCTTCTCTTTTTTTTTATTATAGTACTTTTTAATGGATTTTATATGAGATAAAAACATGATTAAAAATAAAAATGTATTGAAAGTATACTTATTTAATTTTTAGTTTTTTTTTAAATGTAGAATGCAAACAAAATACAAAGCAAGGTATGAATGTGATATAAAATTACCAAATAGCATCTTATTGGTCCATAAAAATCTGGTGAAAGTTGCAAAATAAATTAAAGTTATCAAAACTAATCCACATGTTACCTTGTGATGTCACGTGCCTCGGAATCTTGGTAGCTTCCTCAACTAGGCTTTTGACGAGCTTAATTTCTCGTGCAATATCATCAAATAACATCAGAGAGTAGAATGAGATATCTCCAGCTAATAAGGATTCGATGACAAACTCTGCCTTGTATGCAACCTCTATAACATGACTCCAAAGGGCATGGGGATCTTCGTGATGGTTGTGTTGCTCCCCATTTTCTTCCAATAATGATCTTAAAGATACAAGATCACCTTTCATCGTCTGAAGTTGGTGCTTTTCATTCTTGATGTGCTGCTCCAAATTATTCTCCAAGAATGACGTTAAGAATGGGGCATCAGCTTGCATCTTTTTATGTTGGAGCTTTTCAAGCTTGATCCGCTGCTCCACATCAACGTCCGAGGTGTTTTTCTCCCAAGGTCGGAGTGGCGCCCCATATGGTACCCCGGGAGACCTAATGGGAAAAGGTCGGTCAACTCTTGGGCGTTGGATCTTGTTCAAGTATGAATTTAAGAAGTCAACTCCACCCTTTGCAAAAGAAAATATTGGATCAACTTCGCAGCTTTCAAGTTCCTTCAACTTTTCTAGAACAAGATCGACCAACTCTAGTGCATTGGTTGGAGGAAATTTGGACCTTGATGCTACAGGATACTTTTTCTCAATTTCTGCCTTAACAAGCTTGATCTTCTCCAGTAAACAAAAGAGCTTAAGATCTATTTCCACGGCTGAAGCTTCCCGGATACTGTCCTGATATAGTGAGAAAATTACAATCCCAGCATCATTGACCGCAGCCCCAAATCGATCCCTGATTCCTCCAGGAAGCCCATCATAATCCTCTTGCTGCTTCATCAAAATGCCTCTCAAGAACCGCAGCCCCTCGTAGAGTATCCGAATTTGATGCTTTAGGGATGAAGTAAACCAGGTAGGACACTTTACGAGAAACTCCCAAAGATTACCTAGGAGGGAAGCTACAAAGTCCCCCACTATAGTCATATCCGCCTCGGTGGACATCGCAAGTGATGAAGACCCAGATTCCAAGATGCTGATATAAGCCAAACGGACTTGTTCAACAATAGGCTTGATCTGATGTTTTACTTCATCAATCTTGGAGCTGATTCCAACAAAAACTTCATTGTCATCTCTGAAAAACCAGCAGCTGTGACAAAGATGGGCTGCAGACAGAGCCACAACTCCACAGTGCTCCATAAGTTTCCGCTCGGGCTTGCCTTGCAACCTAGCAAGGAGAATGAAATTTTTGAGGAATACTAGCTTCTCTTGCAAGGGCTCCAACAGTTTTTCAAGTTCCGAATCGTAGGCTTCACCCCAATTGAGAATGTCCACAAAATTCTCTAGCAAGGAGTGGAAGAATTCCATGAACTCATCTGTCAAAGAAGAACTGGATGCCAATAAGCGATCCAACATACTGCGACACCCGTATGATTGACCGTCCCAAAAAATAGAGGTCCATTCGTAAAAATCTCTTGTATTGAATCGGATTCTAGACTCAGAGACGGATTTCGCTAAGGAATTGGAAATATCGACATACGATTTCCTGATTCCTTGCTTAAAACTCTTTAGAATACCTCCAAAAGTTGAAGCTGATCCAGCCAAGTCGCTGGGGGACAATCCATCATCCTCGAATCCAAGAAGAAGAGTATAAAACTGCTGCCCATTTTCGCGAACGGAATCTTCCAGGCCAACAAATTGATATCTCAATTTCCACTGACACAGAAGGAATGTTTTCACTAGCCCAAGCTCCACCTTCAGCTCATTCAAAGCACGATCATACTTGCAGAGATCACCCTGGGGAACCAACAGCCGCAGTTTATCTAAGATGGAATCAATGCAAGCCATCAACTCCATCTGCCTTGTTGTTTTATACATCCCTATTCTCAGATTTCTCTCTCTACCCTTTCAGTAAGTGATTGTTTGTTTCTACCTCTAAATGAAATGATTTGGTAGCTTTCAAAACACCAGTACTAATACATTATTCATTAATTGAGTGAAAAAAAAATTATAAAAAAATATTTAAATCAGCTTTATATGATCAAATGTGAATGAACTTTTCAAAGTTTGAAATATTGCTATCAAACAACAAAGTTTATCTAGTTGTTTATTTTATACAAGCACACCAAGAAGCTCAAAATATTTATAATTTTGCGAACAAAGTAACATCAAACTGTCTTTTTTGTCTGGTGCACTAAAGGCGTGGAATAATGGAGTGCACTAAAGTAACGTTGACGGTTGACTCTCCTCGGATACCATCACCATCGTTTAGGATTTATTAGTGGAGTGGAGACACTAATTATTCTCCGAAAACTTTAATGCGATTATCTCTTGTTTCTTTCTCCATATGATGAAAGATTAAGAAACTGCAGATGATGATTTGTAGTATAAGCACAATTTCATAATTTTTTTTCTTTTTTTTTGGGTGCTATCTTTTACTAAATAGATGTTGAAAAATTTGCAAATCAAGGAAACATGTTATGGAAAACCTTGAAATTTGAAAAAAAAAAAAGTGTGTTAAAAGGATATTGACATGTAGTTCTCATAATCATTCTTCTTAAACTGAATAAATTCGTCAATATTAAGGTGTAACTATGGGCTGCTTTCAGATTTTTCTAATAGATTTTCGGATTCGAGCCCTTCTTATTTTTTTTCTTGTGCAAACATTTATTGATTTTTTTGCAAAGGAAACTTCAGTGAAGTTGATGGCTGCATTTTGTGATTGGCCTAAAACTTAAAATCGAAGCGATGGAATAATTAATTAAACATTGACATAGTAATCATCTTTTAATCTGCAATTATGAAAAGAAAAAAACACAAGAATCACTATCATTAGCATAAACCATTGAGGATGATGTTGGTTGAAACCCGGACGCTATAAGTTGAGAATTATTTAATTCAATAGATAAGATGCTCTTAATTACGTAATCCTACTGGGTAAATCATAGTCTTGCATTTATACTAAAAGTCATTGAAAATCTATCAAGTGAAATGTTTTTTCCTCCTTGTTTTCAGACTTGGCGAATAAAGGGTTAAATGTACAATAAACAACCTCGACCTGAAAAGAAGAATTGCTGCTAATGATCTGGCGAGATGTAATCTCCCGTGCCACCCACCCCATTCCTTCACTCTGGGGCAGTAGCCTCTTACATAGTTTTGTGATTTTCTCGTTTTTACTCATTTCCGTTTAAAATATTCCCCTAAAAATCTCCTTAAGGAAGTAATTAGACTATAAAATTTTTGAAATGTGATACTTAGAGATAAGTATCTTTCACCCTATTTTGCCGAGCTAGATCAAATGTGAATGAATCATGATACGTTTAAGCTTAAAAAAGAAAAGAAACTTTCAGCTTAAAGAATAGTTATGGTTACTTTTCTTCACGACTCATGACACAGAGCAACTTAAGCTTCGTTAGCATTTTCTTTAGTCTTCTATCAAGATTGGTTTGTATATTAAACATTTTTAGACAAATGAACCAAGATTTATAAGTAAACCTCAATAACTAAGAAGTGAGCTGGACCCCGTGTCATTTTCAATTTTGTAACATAGTCTGAGTACTCTTTTTACAAAATGATTTCACCAATAGAAGAAACATTGAAAGGTCCGAACCAGGGGAAAGTTCCGAATTGAGAAAGGTTTGGCCGGCACACCCTCAGGTCACCATCATTCCAACAGTCCATCTTCGGGGCAGTTATCATTAGGTAAAAAAAAAAAAAATCAATTTTTTTAATTATCATCCAAACTTTAGTTAATTTAGTTAAGTGGACAAAACTCCTAAATGATCCGATGTCAATATGACATGACAACTCCTACTATTCTTCCTTTAAACATTTCAAAGCTGAAAAATGTTGGAGCATGGACCCGAACAAGAATACGAAGGAACTAACGAAAAGGAAAGAGAAAAAATCCAAAAATTTCAGGAGCATGATTTTCTTGACTTTCGGATGAACATCAGGAAACAGGACTCCTGTAAATTGGGAAGAAGCAAAAAGAAGATGAATATTAGGAAACAAGAGCTCCTATAAGTTGGGAAGAAGCGAAAGAAGTAGAAAAAAGGCGGTTGGAGAAGTAAAAATCTCAGTAGATGGGCTGACAACAACAACGAAAATAGCTACAAATATATTATTTTCAATAAGTAAAGAGCTACAAAAATTATTTTGAGTAAATTCTGATCATGTTCTTTACAATATGTCTTTTTTATTATTTGTAGTTTAATTTTCCTATTTAATTGATACCTTAAGTGTAATATCTTCATTATTTTCTTGCAATGATGGATTGCAAAATGCAAAAGTGTTGTATGCAACTACAAATAATTCACCGAACAAACATGGCAGGGATTAAAATGTCTTATCTTAATAGATTTCCTACCTATTCCAAGCTATAAAGTCTAATAATTTTTGTATTGCACTATTCCTTGGAATCTGCTCAAGAAGCCAAAAAAGATTAAATACAAGTTCAAATTGATTAGTGAAAGTAAACTTTTATCATGATATTAGGTATTGACACCATAAGAAGACTAGAAGCGGTAACTATTGGATAGACATAAAATTCATCTTTTGCCGTTAAGACTGATCTATTGTTAACATAATAGAAGAATGTAACCCCTTGAAGTTTTTTTTTTTTTTTTTTAAATCTTTTGATCTTTGAGGTGGGCTGATGGCAATGTTTTATTATAGTACAATTACAATTGAAGTACATGCTTCAAGTTTATTTTACTTTAAAGTTTAAAGTATACAAAATCATCTTGCTTTGGGGATTTTTAGGCACACATTGATTTATTGCCACATAAACTTTCTGAAATATTTTATTATAATAACAATGTACCTGTATTCACACAATTTTCACGTTTGCTTTTTTTTTTTCTCTTTAGTTATTTACCCAATTTTTGCCATTTACTGTTTTTTCCTTCACTTTATTGGTTCAAAAGCAATTTTTTTCCTATTGCATTTACATTTATTTATTCTTTTTTAACTATAATTTAGCCAACTTTTTCCTTTTTTTAAAAAAAATAAAAAACACTATTCTTATAATTTGTAAATTTGACGGCTACCCCAACTATCAATGATTGAGCAAAACAAGAAAAAGGTGCTTTGATGCATTTATACAATCTTCACATGCATTTTTTTTAATTGAATAATTACACCAGTGAGTTATCCACTACATAAATAATCACAAATAATCAAGAAATCTTAGTTCCTCTATGGTTCTAAGATGATAATGGTGTTTTTTGTCGAAAAAGAAAAGGAAAAAGTTGGCTAAATTATATTTAAACAAAAGAATTAAATAGAATTAAAAAAGGTAAGTGCAATGAACAATTTTAAACAAATAAAGAAAGGGATAAGTTAAATGGGTAAAAGTTGGCTAAATTACTTTAAATAGAAAAAAGAAAAAAAAAAAAAGAGGGAATAGCAAATGTGAAGATTGTGTAAGTAAAGCTACATTGTTATTAAGATGGAGCGCTCCCCAAATCAGGATGAGCTTGATCCGCCGAGATAAGTTAGTCAGCCTCCAATGCAAAGCTATACATCATTTCATCAAATAATAACTGCGAATTTTGTAGTTCTAGTATGTTATTTTGCTCCAATATGTCTCTATCCTCGTTAAATTAAGGGTTAATTACATTTACCTCCCCTGAGGTTTGACCATATTACCAATCAATCCCTGTAATTTGTCCAAATAACGGTCTCACCCTTTGAATGCTCAAACATTTAACAAAAACCCCCTTAATGCCGAAAATGCCCTTATTGAGGCCATATTGCATTAAAAAAAATATATTTTTATTTTATTAACCCTGAAGCAATCCAATAAAATAGAAAAAAGTTTTTACTTATTATTTTATAAAAACCATATCTTTGCTTCCATAAATAATTTTGAATCAATAATTATTTTAAATCTTAAAAATGAATATTAAAAATTAGATAAATTGAAAGAAAAATAAAAAAAGAAGAAATTATTTTAATTCCTAGAGTATGGTTCAAATTGAAGAAAACATGCTTGTGCTCTCCGCAACATGTCTTGAACCACAAGTATGTTATTTTGCTCCAATATGTCTCTATCCTCGTTAAATTAAAGCAGTCAGTCATCTTCCATTACATGCCTATTACTAAATTTCTTTAGCACTAAGTACTTTTAGTTTTTTCCATTTGTCATTACATTAATTACTATTAATTTCTTTATGTAGTTTCTTTAATGTAGTCATCTGCATTCCATGGCCATTACAATATTTCTTTCTTACTAAGTACTTTCATTCTTTCAATAAAATAGTTATCACTACAACATAAATTTATCAGCCATTATTTCTTTTTAAGTAGAGGTGGCAATTTGTCCCAAGTCTCAATGGGTTACCCATGCCCATGGGGACTTTGGGCGGAAGGGTACTGAAATTTGATATTGGGTTTAAAATTGGACAAATCCCAATTGTACCCATTAATTGATGGGAAATCTTGGAAAATACTTGGGTACCCATTGGGCTCAAATAGCAAGGGCTCTGTTTGGATTAGTTATTTTTGGGGGATGTTTTTGAAATATTTTATTGTAGTAGTGTATATGAAAAATTTTTACTATAATTTTTTTTTTGAAATATTTGATATACTAATGTGGATGGGATATTTTTTGAATTATCATATATTACCGTAATATTGTATTTGAAAAACTTATTTTTTGAAAAAATAGCCAATCCAAACGGAGTCTTAGATTCAAAAATTATCTTTAACAATTTTTATAGTCATACCAACGAATATAATCTAGTAGTCTTCCTAGTCATTATCCACAAGAATTTCCAGCATTTCAGTCAATTTAGACATGTCATCCTTGGACAATGATGAGGATAAATATTCAACACCCTAAATACCTTGACCATCTTGATATATGTTGGAATATGGTTGTATATCTATTTTTTCCTTTATTTGTTAATTCAATTTTTGGTGGGAATCTTGAG